AAAAGGTTTAAGATATGTTTATAATAAAAAAATAATTTAATAGTGTAAAAAAATTCAAATAAAATACATATTTAATTTTTACGTGAGAAAAAATGTTTGAAAAAGGCTGGTTTTTGCCCGAGGAAACCCATGTAACTCCTTAATACATTGTCTCAAATTCAGTTGCCTAAAAGCATCCCTATAACGTTATTGGTCCATATTCGTGTTGTTGGGGGTGTAATTGTTGGTCAAATTACACATTCCTAGTTCGTCGTTTTGAAATCAGAGCCTAATAAATTTACTTTCGTTTCATCCGAACATAAATAAATTATTCGAATATTCGAGAAGCATGCGACTCTACGCAAACTCAATATTTTTATGAACATTTTTTACATGAAAAATTCTTTTGATAAATACTTTATTATGTTAATAGATTACAATATCCTCATATGAAAAAATGCACACTATTACTATAATATTTATAATTAAATACCACAGCTGTAATGATGAATTTTTCATAAAGGATATTCAGGTTTATCGACCTTAACCTCTAAGCAGTTTCACATACTATTTAACTCTCTATTCAAAGTTCTTTTCAACTTTCCCTCACGGTACTTGTTTACTATCGGTSTCATGGTTATATTTAGTTTTAKATGGAGTTTACCACCCAACACTGCACATGAAAGTTTATTTTACGGAATCAATTACTTCAGTCAATACTTCTCTAAACTCAATTGTATGTATTTACACAAAATTTCATTGGGCATTCATACATATGTATATGTGCGTACACATGTATAATACATAAATATATATAAATGGACGTCAAAACAAGGCAAAGCAGTCGCTTTGATAACAAAGCACACCACAATATATCTTTTTGTACAGAAGCGCATTTGTTTAATTTAAATTGATAAATAAATTATCACATGGTAAACATATTAATGGACAATACACAGAGCTAGAGATTGCTTTAAATAAACAAAGAAGTGAAACCTTTCACTACAAAAGCATAAATATGAAACAAACAAATKCAAAAAGCAAACAAATTAATTTTACACTATGAAAATCTATATTTTTATTTTATTAGTTCATTTTTGCCTTGTTGATTCACTTAACAGGACCAATTAAAGTTAAAAAAAAAAGTTCATAAAAATTTATGTAGAACGATTAATTACTAATTATTAATATTCAAATGATTTATTGTTCAGCTATAAATAGTTATGTACCATATATACACATACTCGTACCTATATAACTTGTATCTATTTTTAAAACTGACCATCAATTAAGGCTGAACGGATTTGTAGCATTTATCACAATGCAACAACTAGGATATGAGAAAAAAACCTAACAAATTAATTCAACTRCAATGGAACGTCGGGTATGGAGAAAAATAATTGAGTGCCGATCCACAATCATACTGTAAATAATATCTAAATAACGTTATTCAACTCATCGYCAGCAAATTAAGCGATAAATTTACTGCAGAATTACGATATGTATACATATGTATGTACGTATATACCGCCATACCAGTTTGACTAATCTACTTGCACTTTGCGGTCACTCAAATAAATTTATTAAACTTACACAAAGATCATCATTGCATCCCATAGGTAGAGAAAAGCGGGTAACGAGCCATACGCTTCGAGAATATACGCATAATCACCACCGGATTTTGGAATCGCCGTGCCCAGTTCGGCATAACAAAGCGCGCCAATCATCGACAACAAACCGCATAACACCCAAATAATAAGTGAAGTGCCCACCGCTTCTACTTCACGTATCACACCTTTGGGCGATATAAAAATGCCCGAACCAAAGATTATACCCAATATGATAGCAACACCTTCAAGTAAGCCCAACTGTTTCTTCATACGCACAGCGCTGGTATTCGATTCAGCGGATCCTTCACGTTGTCCACCAACMCCRCCATTRCTCATCCCCGCAACGGTGGCATTTTCTGTTGTAGCACTTGGCGCCGTTTCACTGGCTGGTGTTAATARCACCATTTCGCTGGTGGGTGATTGTAAGTCGCTTGCGGCGCGCATAGTTTCAAACTATCATGAAATAACTATTATTTCTCCTATTTTSCTACTTTAAGCACTTGCGTTTGGTTCGAATGCCACGATAAGACTGAGAACTTTCATGCGCGTCAATATTCGCTGTTAGCTCGCGGTTTACTAATATCAAAGGTCTAATTCAATTTATTTCTTGTCTATGATTTTTGTTTTTGTAACCAATCTGCTAATTTCTTCTGTACAGTACTTTGTGTTATTACGATCGCCGATGTGAGTACCACAATAATGCCGGGTACTTTTACTTTTGTTTTGCTACGCCTGTTCAATGAGTTTACATATATGTACATGTATACTATTATCTGCCCTATTTTCGCATTCYTTCGTTTTTCATTCACTTTTTAAAGTGCTAAGGGTGCGGGGCCGAGAACATCACCCATTGACACAGTTTCAGCCACCAACAACCACTAGTTGTGTGACTTTTTAGGTTAGATGTGGTGCTGTTTAGATTGACACAAACTTTTCATTTAGAGTATGGAAACGAAAATATTTTCAAATATATCACACACTTTCCGAGTTTTCTTTATTATCTTTCAGCTGTAATTTTATTTATGCAAACGCTTTCACTTTTGTATTTCCGGAGGAAAATTTCACGAAAATCAAACCACACGCGATAAATACGAGCAGAACTAACATCACTGTCAAAAGGAAAATGGCATTGCGGAAAGTGAAAAGCGAGAGGTGGGAGAATATTGATAGGGGTGAAAAGATGTGCTGCCCAAAAATTGAAAGGAAAACTGTGCAGTGTTGGAAAACGGAAATAGGTAAAAACTCAGTGAAAGTCAGAAAACATTTAAAAATTAAAAATAACTGCAACAATTGTTTACAACAAAACAATTAACTGATTTCTTGTCAGATTTACTACAGTCATATGTAAGTTATTACGGCAAAGCATACTTTTAGGAAGTTTAAAAACTACTTCCGACCTTTGTTGCCACACTTTCTCYATTACAATTGTAACGGATATTTACAACGTTATCATACACCACGAACTGTTTAGAAAAYTATATATAGACTTACGAAATTAAAATTGCAAGATATTAAATTTCACAATTTAACTTTTAATGGTATCACTAACATCAAGTTTTCCTTAWACTTAATTATGTATAAAAACACACACTGACTTCAATTCACTTCTTATCTTTTGCATGTAACTTGGAATTAATCATTTCCTTAAACTGTGACAAAATTTTGTTTTCCCGCTTCTGCCGCTCTTCTTTGCTGAACATGGCCAAAGCTCGCTTTTCGTCTGCAGAATAGATTTGATTTTCTTTACGAATACGTACAGCTTCCATTCGGCGATGTCTAAAGGAAAGCAAAAAAACAAGTTAGAAATATATTTATAAATTAGCACATAAATCATGTATTTTATACTGACCTGCTACCGCTCATAACATATCCAACAGATTCAAAGTTGGCGATCTCCTCGGATGTCAATCCGATTTCACCTCGACGTGGAATTCTTTTTCCCTCTGCAATATATGCTGCCATCGCGGCACCTTCACCAGGTAAAAGAGCACGACCAAAATCCTTTTGGCTTAGACCACTAGTTTGCCTTAGCGTCGGTCCGAACTCTTCTCCACCGACGCCCACTTCGTCCGAAGATCGGAATCTGTCTGAACTAGATTTGCTGGCTTCATTTTTAGAACGTTTTTTATTTTTCTTGTGTTTYTTGGTTTTACTTTTCTTTTTTAATGGCTTGACACCGTCTACAGTTTTTTCCAACCACATGTCCTCTGTTTCAGAATCCGAATCTGAAGAGCTTTCACTTTCCGAACTATCACTATCAGATCTCTCATCTGCAGAGAAATCTGAACTTGAGCTGGATGTATCACTTGAGCTCGATACTTTTTTCTTCTTACTACGTTTGCTTTTCGATTTCTTCTTACCACTACTCTTACGTTTCTTTGATTTTTTCGATTTCTTCTTTTTAGCTTTACTTTTCTTCTTTTTTGGCTTTTTATAAGTGCCATCTAAAATTTTAACATCAGGATCATACAATTCGTCATCTGAAAATACTTCCGGATGAGCTGGGCTTTTACCCCATACATCCTCAGAACCTTCTATGCCGATCAACTCACGTTGCTCTCGTCGTGCTTCCAAGTAGTTTGAAGACTTTTTTTGTTGATGGATGCTTCCACTGTTTCCACCTCGAAAAGGGTTGTTCTGGCGTCCACCGTAATTATTTTCATGATATTTGTCATTGGGCCAACGTTCAACCTTTTGTTTATCGTCCGCAGGAGAAGAGCGACTATGGCTCCTTCTATACCTTGACTTTGAGCGTTGATCTTCTTTTGAACGATACTTATCCCGGCGACTTTCAACGGATCCTCTACGTGTTCGTGATCTTGATCGAGAGCGTGAATGTGTCGGTGATTTAGTTCTTGAACGTGTATGCCTTCGTCTGCGATGGCTCCTTACTTCTTCACTTCTATCATCACGTCCACGCGAATTGTGTCTCCGTTTTGCAGGTGAGTGATGACGGCTGCGAGACCTCGTTCGAGAACGGGATCGCATAGTTATTGTATTCTACAATTTAAAAAATCGAATGTTCAATATTTGGAACTAGTCTTGAATTCTGCACAAAATTATTAATAATGGATAATGCGAATTTAGTGACAGAGGAATGTCAAAATCGGCAGTGTTGCAAAATAAATTAAAATGGATTCGGAGTTCGAAAATAAAGTATGGAAAATGTTTTTGTTTTTGTCAAATACATKTGTGATGTGCTSAACRCAAARAGCGCGACARACTGCAAGCGACATCTGTCAATATACACAAGTTCTTAAGGACACAGTTATTGAGACAGCTRCATAACTACATAACTGTGTCCTTAAGAACGTGTGTATTTTATTATTTGACAGATRTCTCTAACTGTCTAAGCTTCTATTCAGTAAAGAACAGTATTTTATATTCAAAACTAAATTTTGATCTTTTATAGATTCAGTATATGTTAGTACTATTTTAGGGGAAGGAACTTCCATATACCACCCTGTATTAAATTTTGACATTACCTTCCAATCTTCACTGTTCTTGACAGTTGTTAGTGGAAGTGACGTGTAAGTTTTTCACAAAATATCTCAAAAATATTTCTGTAGTTCTTGAATCATTTATAATATTTAATAAAATCACAACTTAAAAAAAAAACAATTGCCGCAATGGGTTCTTTTCGCCGTGATAAAGATGATGAAGATGAAGGTAAGGCCAAAATCGTATTTTGGTATGTATAGTAAGCCATTATTTGTCCCGATCTATCGCCGCTGTGAATTTTTATAATCATSTTTTCTATTGGAAAGCTAAACGTGGCTAATTAATAAAATGTTTACCTTACATGTTTGTGTATATTTTACTATAATACCAACTGTGAGAAAAAATTGTTTATTACAGAATAAATTTTATATGCCACTACAAAACTTGTCACATTCTGTCACCTCTTTCACATATCCGGACATATGTACATATATTGGCAATATTACGATTCTTTCGGCGCCGCGATTTGATGGTACGGATGGATAGAAAACTATGAGTCTGAGGACGGTATATTTGTATACATTTTTTAATCCTGAGGACCTCCTCTATCCATCCGTACCGTCAAATCGCGGTGCCGAAAAAATCGTAATCGTGCCCATATATTGTACCACTTCGTTTAACCAAGAGACACTAATTTTTGTTTCAATGAATTTTTAAAATAGGCATTACCAACATCTATCAAAATTTGGAAAAGACATCGGTTTTGCAGGAGACACGCACTTTCAATGACACACCAGTTAACCCACGAAAATGCATCCAAATTCTTACCAAAATTCTGTACTTGATCAATCAGGGCGAACAATTGGTTGCTCGTGAAGCTACGGATTGTTTCTTTGCCATGACAAAATTATTCCAATCGAAAGATGTCGTATTGCGACGTATGGTSTATTTGGGAATTAAGGAGCTTAGCTCCATTGCTGAAGATGTTATAATTGTAACAAGTTCCTTAACCAAGGATATGACTGGTAAGGAGGACCTATACCGTCCAGCAGCTATACGTGCACTTTGTAGCATAACAGACAACACCATGCTGCAAGCGGTTGAACGTTATATGAAACAATGCATCGTGGATAAGAACTCTGCTGTATCATGCGCTGCGCTTGTAAGTTCGTTACGTTTAGCAAGCACCGCCGGCGATGTAGTAAAACGCTGGGCAAACGAAGCACAAGAAGCACTTAACAGCGATAACATTATGGTGCAATATCATGCATTGGGCTTACTCTATCACATTCGTAAATCAGATCGCTTGGCTGTGTCCAAGCTGGTAAACAAATTGACACGTAGTTCAATGAAGAGCCCATATGCAGTTTGCATGCTCGTAAGTCAGAAATAATTAAATAAAATTTTGCAAGATTTTATATTAAATTTCAAAAATTTACAGATTCGCATAGCTTGTAAGCTGATTGAAGAAGAAGACATCTCAACGGAAGACTTGGCTAATTCGCCAATGTTCACTTTTATCGAATCATGTCTACGACACAAGAGTGAGATGGTCATCTATGAAGCTGCACATGCCATTGTAAACTTAAAGAACACTAATGCTCGTGTACTTTCGCCAGCATTTTCCATTTTGCAACTATTCTGCAGCTCACAAAAAGCCACTTTACGATTTGCAGCTGTACGCACGCTCAACAAAGTTGCAATGACACACCCAGCTGCGGTCACCACATGTAATTTGGATTTGGAAGGTCTTATAACCGATACAAATCGTTCTGTTGCCACGCTAGCTATTACCACTTTGTTAAAGACTGGTGCTGAGTCGTCCGTAGAACGTTTAATGAAACAAATCTCCTCCTTCGTAGCTGAAATTTCAGATGAATTTAAAGTGGTCGTCGTCCAAGCGATTTGTGCACTCTGCTCCAAATATCCACGCAAACATACTGTGTTGATGAATTTCCTTAGCGGCATGCTGCGTGAAGAGGGTGGTTTAGAATACAAAACTTCAATTGTGGACACCATTATAACGATTATTGAGGAAAACGCTGAAGCCAAGGAATCCGGTCTTTCTCATCTTTGTGAATTTATTGAAGATTGTGAACACGTATCGCTAGCAGTGCGCATTCTGCATCTATTAGGCAAGGAAGGGCCTTTCGCTAACACACCATCCAAGTACATACGCTTCATATACAATCGCGTTATATTAGAAAGTCCCATTGTGCGCGCCGCAGCTGTTACAGCGCTGGCGCAATTTGGTGCTTCCTGCCCKGCACTCATAAATAATATTTTGGTATTGCTAAGTCGCTGTCAAATGGATCCCGATGATGAAGTACGCGATCGTGCTACTTATTATTTGCACATTTTGCAATCCAACAAACCCGAACTCTACAAGCACTACATTATTGAACGTGAGACATGCTCACTGACGTTGTTGGAAAAGGCATTGACAGAGCATTTAAATGGCGATTTGTCCACTAGTTTCGATATATCGATTGTACCCAAAACTGCTATTGTTAAGGAGGAAGTTGCCAACGAGGCTATGCTCATTTCTAATAGTAAGTATTCCAATATTGCTCCAATCCCGTTATTTCAACGGTTATGTTATTTATTTATAGCACCGCGCGCTCCCAAAATCACACGTGAGGAAGAAAGTGCTGCCCGTCTGTCACAACTACCGGGTATACAAGTTCTAGGGCCAATTCATCGTACAACAGCACCCATTCAACTTACTGAGAGTGAAACAGAATACACCGTACAATGCATTAAACACATATTCGTCAATCACATCGTTTTTCAGGTGCGTTTTTAGCGGTTTTGTTATTTAAAAAATATATAATATCAAGTTTTAATCAATTTCAGTTTGATTGTCTCAACACTTTGCCCGATCAAATATTAGAAAATGTGCGTGTMGAGTTAACCATACCAGAAGGATTTACAACACGCGCCGTTATTCCATGTCCCAAATTGCCTTACAATGAGTTGCAAACAACGTTCGTTATTGTCGAATTTCCACCCGACATTGCCAGCTCGGCAGGTATGAAAACACAAGTAATGATGCAATTTCGTACTTTTATTAAGACTTAAATTCAAATTTTCAGCAACATTTGGCGCGACATTGCGCTTTGTGGTGAAGGACTGCGATCCGAATACGGGCGAACCAGATTCAGACAATGGCTACGAAGAGGAGTATATGCTAGAGGACTTAGAAATCACTGTAGCTGATCAAATACAGAAGACGAAAAAGAGCAATTTCCAAGCAGTTTGGGATGCCGCAGACACCGAAGGTTCATTCAAAAGTTTATTAAGTTCAAATGCATTTTATACTTACATTTAATTTTTTTAACAGAGTGGGTTGAAGCTGAGGATACGTATTCGCTGTCCGCCGTGAGTACATTACAAGACGCCGTAAATACTATTTTGAAATTCCTCGGTTTGGGCGCGGCCAATTTATCTGAGAAAGTGGCTGAGGGAACTCATACACATACCTTAATTTGCTCAGGTAAGCGTAATAAGTTTTTGTTAAATTTTTAAGCTAATTATCTTTACGTCTGCTCATAACTAATATGTTTGAAATTGTTTCCATTCACAGGCACATTTAGAGGTGGCGCAGAAATATTGGTGCGGTCGAAACTTGCGCTATCGGATGGCGTTACAATGCAGCTAACTGTGCGTACCACCGATCCAGATGTTGCCGAGCTCGTCACGTCTGCCATCGGATAGGATTAAGCCAATTAGTTGTTTTGTGCATTTTAAAGCGAATAGAAGTGTTATTAAGTTGGTTAAGTTTAAAATGAGAATACCGCTAACGCCGTTCGACAATTTTGTGAAAAACATTTGCCAACACAAAGTTGCATTATATTTTGCCACCAACAGCTTCTAACTCTTCGAATTATGTGATACAACTATACTATGTTGAAAAAATTGTAGTGAACAGTTTGATTTGCAAGTGGAAAGAAGCATAATGTGCAACTAAGTGGGCGAAAATAAAAATAGAAAAAAGTATGGTATAACACAAAAATATAGTTATTAATTTCGTATTGTCGGTAGATGAGCTAAAAAGCTTCTAAAAAAGCGGTTCATGTTAAAAGCGTGATTTATGCAAATTTTTCATATTTTTTTTTTAAATATAAAAAATATATAATAATAATTAATTAATAAATTACATCTTTGTTTATTAACGCAAAACTTTGTGTGACAACTCRAGTTAAATGTACATTTTTGCGAACGATGTAATGAATATTGTATATCCAAATAAATTTCTTTAAATTCACTTCAAATATTTGTAATCACTAAAAGCAAATGTATTCCATATATTGTAAACATTTTAACATGTAAATGACTACTACAATTCGGCRTTATCTTAGAAATACGTAAGGATCTCACTAATTGCAAAAAATATTGGAATTAGTGTTTTGCTTGTATTACTATATACATACATACATACATATATAATGTGAAAATTAGTATCAATAAAAATATTACAAAAACCCAGTATCAAAAGAATTTTGTCAAATTGCTCTCTGTCAGCGAATCACATTATTACAATATGTTTATGACATATGTTATTTACCAGGCTTGCTTTAAATATAATTAAAACACCCGTGTTAATTAAAATTTCTTCATATTTTTAATCATCATATTTCTTTATTGTACTCTTCGCGTCATTGACCGTGAACAGTGCACACCGTTTTAATACCGACAGCACAGCTGGTATAAATATGTTGCTTTAAATAGAATCGTTGTTTTCTTACACCTTTAGACGTCATTTGACAAATAAAGCTGCGGTACCGACTGTCAGTCTATGAAAATGCACCGACTTAATATTTTTTTTTTTAATTTACAAACGTGCGCCTATCAAAAAATTGGCGAGGTGAAGCCGATTGTGTTATTCTTAAATACATATGTATGTATGTAGTTGTTGTTATCATATATGTTGATACAGATTCGAACAAATAGAACTTTGTCAAATTGAAAGATTTATGTTAATTGAAATTTTTTTGGCGAAATGCCCACAATACATAGCAACWCGCATGCGACGATGACTAATTTATTAAAATTACGCAAAAAACGTCAATTGCATGCCACCAAGACTGCATAGGTTTATTTAAAACAAATTGCGAGTTATATATGTATGTATGTACATATGTATKCAGTTGTTTATGAAAACTTTAATTTCTGAGATCATGGATACTAAATGAATTTTAATTACAGACAAATTAAGAACTCTCAGATCAGTTACTTAACTGTGTAGGCGCACCCCTATCAACTGCTCATCTGGATATTCAAAAACATGCACACACTCAATGGTCCAACTTATGCATACAAATGCGCGTTCTCTCTTGTCTTYCGTAGCATCTTTCTAAATTTGAAAAATTTTCATAAGCAGCGTTCATTCAAATTAATTTTCAAAATATTGAATCAGTGTGAGCGGGTCGCTCAGACGGAAACCACACACAATTCGTAAAAATTAAGCGTTTTTGATTGGTGAAAAGTAAAAGTGATGCAAAATTAAACAAACATATAATATACATACAAACATAATTTGGTATTAAAATATGTTTTGTTTTTTCCAAAATAAGATGAATTATTGTGCTATATCTTAAAACTGTGTAGTGAAGTCAGCAGCAAAGAACACTACACAAATATACAGATTAATACGAAATACTATTTGCATCACAAGAGTCRCGAGTTTCTGAGACGGCTCACTTGTGTAGTAATATGTTTCGTGTCTCGCAGGAGATTCGGTTGAATRCAAGCAGCAGCGCTGAAGTGACACGCTACTGCAACACCACAAATGCCGACAGTGAAAATGATTGTATTTTTGGAAAATACCAAAGAACCCCAGACGCGGGTGAGTACATAGATATATACATACTATAAATATGTATATATGTATAAGCAATTGTGTGTATATGTGGAAAGATTATAAGTTTTCGTTTGTTTGGTTCAAAGAATTACGCTTCTACAAGCAAATCAATGCATATATTACGTTTTTGTTTTTTAAGTAGATATACTATTTCCTTTTAGACTATTTGTGCAATTGGGAATTAAATTTGCCTTACCTACACTCTGTTGTGGATATTGGCAATTTGTTGTTTTCAGTCAAATGAGAATAATTAATTTGCTTTTACGTCCGAACTAACTTTATTGTGTGTATTTGTATATATCGTTAACTTAATATCAAAACGGAGATAGTAAACTACTCGTTAAGGTAGTAGTCAGGTAACATGGGTTCAAAAAATCGAAATTTTTTTGTTTTGCTTTCTTTGAAAGTACAATATCTTGAGAATATACTGTAAAAATTTCAGACAGAAACTCGATATATTTCGGGAGTTACAACGAGTTCTCTAGAACGCCACGGTGTCCTCTCTCTCGGAGTTGTTGAACTTTAAACGCGTTTTTCTCAAACATTGTGTTTTCTGGTCAGCCTGGGACCTAACTTTTTTTCTACAGAACCGATTGCTTTCAAATGTTCTACACACTTATAGTTCTCGTCGGTACTAACGAAAATTTTTTTCATCCCTAACTTTTTATTTTACAACAAGGACTTTTTTTTCAAAGTCTGCCATTTTGTTATTTACCCTTGAAATTTAAATACAGTAGTTCCGACCAGAATGACATGCCTATAGATTAAGAATAATCAAGAATATTTGATTTCGGATAACATCAAGAGCCGAAATCACCCGGCCACCCAYGTGCATTTTCAACTTCGAGTCACAATAATAATAGTATTAAAGTATTAAATATTTTTTTTCAATACGTAAATAAAAACACTCTAAATATTCAAGATAATTAATTTTAATTTTCCTATAAAAAAACCACCCTCCAAAGAAGTCAAGAAAATAGGCATAAGTTAAATAAAAAAGAGGATGGTTAGAACATTGAATCGGTAAATGGTTTTAATAAATGGAATAGGTGAATTGGAATTTATGGTTATATATTGATATCTGTTATTTATAATACATATCCATATTTACATACATGTTATTTATAGTACATATCCGCAACACATACACAACATTTTGTTGGAGAGAAAGTATTTGTAAACTTTTTAAACTAAAAGTCACTGTTTTATAGCTTTTTGGCCGACTTTTTAGTAACGAGCTACCAAATATTTGAAAAATGAAATGTTATCCTCTGAATTTCACTTCGTCCCCATACATTGACCGATATTTACGGTCAAAAGTCAACAATATGTAGATACTCCAGCCCACCTTTCTRGGCTTGAAAAGTTTTGATGGGATTTAGGATTTTTTGGTCATAAGTGGCATACTTTAAAAGGATTATTATTGCAAATTTCTATACCGTTATATTACTTCTTGATTTGTCGATTTGGAAAGTGAAGGAATCAAATAGAATTTAAAACGGYGTTATATGGAAAGTACGTTGTGGTCCCATTTCATCCCTTCCCGTACTGCGAYGTAAGAATATGAGAACAATGTCACGTATTTAATTTAGACGAAATCGGTCTTTCTGGTACAGAGATATGTATGTGATTGCACTRAAAAGTAGGCGGTGCCACGCTTATCGDCCAATTTTTGCCACGATTCCCATTAATCCCTCTAATACCATATTGAAGGTAAATTTAAACGTCTCCGGCGTATTTAATATTATCGCGCTTTTAGTAGTTAGGAGGGTAGGAGTTGTTATAACATTTGCGCTCAGTAAATTTAATTTWTGAAGCTTTAGTGGCTTAGGAGATATATATATTAAGCTTAATAGAGGGCGGGCCCCGCCAACTTTTTCAAAAATTTTTTGCTCACAGCTGCCTCTTGCTACTGCGATCCYCTGTGCGAAATTACAGTTCTGTATCTTAATTTATTGCTTAGTTATGACACTTTAATGGGGTTTTGTGGGCGTGGCAGTGGTCGRATTACRCMSATCTAACTCGATTTTTTTTGTGCTAAAGTACCTGCGCACCAAGTTTCATCAAGCTATCTCAATTTTTACTGAAGACGGACGCACAGACAGTGCTTAGAAAAGCAATGTATTCAAAGTTTGGAGTCTATAAGTAGGTAATACTATAAAAAACGAGTTGCATTTTCTGTTATTTTTCTGTTAATAAAATGAGAGTTGGTATGATTGTTTAGTGTACTCTCTCCAGAAGGACCATACGCCTTGTGTCAGAACAGAATTTAAAACATTTCAAATATTCTGAAAATCGTACTCGAATTTAATGCTGTTCTATCAGTGAGGGGTTATTAATTCGGTGATTCGGTTTTATTTAAAAAACGATACTATTTATTAATACTAGGCATATGAACTTACCTTATAGGTATCATAAATATGTGTATTATATTTCAGATGCATATCCCACAGAAAATCCGCTCGTCTTAGTTGCACCCGAATTAACTGACCCCAGCAAAGTTCAACTACTTCACTTCCCGAATGGCGCAATGCGTGTAAATTCAGAAGTGGATTTCATAATCAAACGCAATGGTGTGAAGGGAAATTTCGAAGTCAAGGTAAGTTAATATTAAATTCGAACTTACACATATGAGCGTTAGATTACCACTAAGCAATTATAAATTACAATTTGTGGAGAAACTGTTGTGTCTAAACTTTGCACTTTTTTCCTTCCTGCCARTTCTAAATTGACTTTAGGGGTCAGTAAGGTAATCTGGTCTGTTTTTTGAATTTTTTTTTTTTCAAGAAATTTTTATTCTAGAATAGTGTATATATGTATAAATTTTTTCAGAATTTTTCGATGACATCTGTCGGAGAAATGGCTGGGTGAATGAAATGGGTTTTTTCACTGGCGGACACGATTTCTCATGTTTAGATCACCTGAAATACAAAAACCTAATTTATTCTTAAAAAGTACGTGAATGGTYATCGTCCCTACTAGAATCATGAAAAATGTTGATAAATAAAAGAGTATTTAACGTTTTTTCCCATGTCTTTTACACAAATTTTGTCATAACATTGTGAATAAATTATAAAAAAAAAACCTATAGAGACGATAGACATGTGTTCTGTAAATATCAAAAAAAAATTAAGCAAATCGGTTAAGTAGTTCGACCGGAATCATGTCCACCAGTTTAAGGAAGTGTGTTTTACGAAAATTGCTTAAAGTTTGAGGTGTGCACTCCGAGCGCTCCGAACGTCGAGYAGTATTATTATTTTTGGACTTTTTGCGACATATTCCAAAGGTGAAGTGGGTTTCTACATTAACTCTAAGGGTATAAGGGAACAGAAAATGCAGAAAAAGTTTTTTTTTATTTTTGAAAAAAGGATTACCCTGCTGACTGCTTAACAACCGTTGTGAAGATTGGCACAAGTGTATTGGGAGCAAGTTGATTACTTTGAGGGGGACGGCATAGATATTAAAGAATAAATTAAGGATTTTAAAATAGTGAAGAAAGTCTTACAATTTTTTCTCTTTGTAATATGGCTTAACACATTCAAACATGATATTTATACACAACTATATCTTAACCCTAATCTAACCTTTCCTCCATGCATATCACGCTCATAGAGTTATTCTAAGGTTATACATTTCTTCATTTGCATTTAGTATTTACTGTTATTCAAACTGAATATTTTTGCAGGCTGAAAGCCCCTCCGGCATGACCGYTATCACACCTCTACAACTTATTGATCCGGAACGTTTAAGAGCGRGCTTTCAACTGAAAGAGGCAGGTCTCTATAAAATACACATCAAATGCAATTCCGTGCCATTACCCAAATCGCCATTCATTATAGTCTCCATTTGCGGTGAGCCCGAGAGCAATGTACGCAAAATGGAATGTAAGTTTACGAATAACATTCTCTTGATTATATGAGACTATATTTGCAAACAATATTTTTTAACTCMATCACACTTAGTGCCCGTATTCAAATCAGACGCCAGTTGTGTGACCTATCGCGGACTTGGTYTAACACACATTTCGCTTGAAGAGAAGAACGAGTTCACCGTTGATGGTTCGGCCGCGGGCAACAACATGCTATTTGTTGGCATATTCGGACCAAAAGGACAATGCGATGAGGTTGTCATCAAGCATACCGGAAATAATGTTTACAAAATTACATATGAGGTGCGTGATCCGGGCGATTATTTGCTAGTAGCCAAGTGGGGTGAAGAGCATATACCGGGTTCGCCATTCCAGTTGAATGCCATATAAAGTTGAAGGAGAAAAAAATCCAGTCGTACTTAATTTAATTATAATTATTGTTAGAGTATTTAAAACCTTTAAAAATAGAATTAGCAAATACGTACATATGATTTCCCTTAATTTAACATATTTCAATAAATCACGAAGATTATTTATGTTGTAATTGAATTTTTTTAGTAAATAAATAGCGAACTGAGGTTACAAAACAACACATACATAAAGAGAGCTTTGCTATACACGTATTGTATTCATGGGCGTGCCACACCACTGGGTGTAGTCAGATATTCGGCAAAGGAGGGAGGGGGATTGATTTAACAACTACTTACTATTGAAATTTCTAAGGTGCTAAAATTAATAGACCTTTGGTGGTTCCCATAAGTAAAGAAAACATAAAATCAAACATCACCGTACTCGACAGGGATTTAGCCTAGATACTCTACAATCATGAAAACAAGGTTTCAAAAACAATAAAAAAAATAAATTTTTTAAAAGGTCCTTGGCTACTTGCTTCCTTCAAACAGTATTWTTTTCCGTTTTGGCATGCTTTTTTGAGAAAATCTATAGTGCATTGGGAAACAGTTCTTACAGTTCACCTGAATAAGCAGAGGGTTGTCTTTGTCTTTGTGACGCCAATGGTGTAAAGTTACTCACTGAAAATCCTTGTACGGCACCTAACAAAATGTCATTAATTTTAGCGATGATTTCTCCCRTTAATACCTTTGTAGCCTTTTTGAACTTGTTCCATCATTTGTGCTGTTGTGGTTACGACGATCAAGTGACCGTTAAATATATTGTGGCAGATTTTTAGATTTGATCGAGGTGGAGACATTTTCGGACATACATATAACGTCAGAACGATTGGAAATTTAAACTTTAGCAGTATTCCACCGAGGAATGGTAGTAATTTTTTGTGTTTGACACAATATCTCAGGCCAGCTGACTGGCTTTAGYCTGCCGTGTTGCTATCAATTTGTTGTGTTCAACTTCTTATTATTCCATTTCGAGGTTCYTAACTTTTTAATGAAAAAACAAAGAAGCTTCAAATATAATGGGGAATGTTTATTATTAAAYTTTCGAAAAAACATTCTTTGGCATTTTGTTTTTAAAATTATCGCTTTCAAATGTTGGCCGCGGCTATGTCTCAGATCCGTTGAGTCCAATTTTCGATGACTCGTTCGAGAATTTCGGCTGGTAACTGGCGAATGACGCGAGTGATATTTTACTCCAAGGCCTGAATCCAAGCGGGAAAATGCGGCAGTTTTACATGAGCCTCATCGCTAAACACAATTTGGTTCGATAACGCAGAATCTTCTTGGAACTTTCCAAAAACCCATAGGGCATCAGGTAAGATGTACCAAATCTATCAAAAAAATACTTTTGAAAAAAGTACTAGTTTGATCACCCGATATATTGCTAGTGGCAAATGTCTCTAAAACTCATTTCTTGGTGCTTGAGATGATTTGGTGAATTGTAAGGCAACTTTATTTTTAAAAATTTCCTGCATACATACAAGCACATTTACATACATACATACATATACCTGTGCCCAAAAAAAAAGGTGACATTGTATTTATTTTGAAAATTCTTTATTTATTCTTCCAAATCAATTTCACCCCCTTCAAAGTAATCCCCACTAGATGTAGTATATTATGCCAACGGCTTTTCCAATCTTTGAAACACTGGTTGTAGTCACTTTCCGGGATGGCCTTCAGTTCGGTCTTCGCTGCGGCTTCAATATCGTATAGAAACGGTGTCCCCGCACGGCGCCAGATCAGGTTTTTGGCGAAATGATCATTTAATGCAAATTCTTTGCTCAACAAATTTCGACATCGCAAAAAACGAAAAACTCACTTTYAGCAGCTCACAAAACGACACGTAYCTCAAACACTAATGAATATTTTGACATTAAATTTGACTGACAGTACACCAACCTAAAAAAAATAGTTCCCCAAATTCTTCGACGCGCGCAGTTTAAATTCAAATGTCACCTTATTTTGTTATTATTAACAGATAAATAATCTATATACATACATATATAAAAGGAAGTTGTGTTAGTTACACCATTTATAACTCAGGAACGGCTGATCCGATTTGGCTGAAAATTGGTGAGGAGGTAGCTTAGGACATAGGATACTTTTTATCTTTGTATGTTAAAATGTAATACAACTCATAAATAGAAAAAATATATTTTAAATCATAAGCATTTGTTCAAAATGCATGCAGGAATCATTTGAGTTTTTCATTTCTTCAAAAAACGAAATGCTTTATGATCCATTTTTTTGGAAACTAACGCAAGTTGCTTCASAAAAATGCTATATCTCATTAACTAATAGCTAAAATCCAACTAATAGAAATCATATAGATGGTAGTAGTAGTATTATCTACATGTATGTGTGTGTGTATCAGCCACTTTGAAGCGTGGACGGTTTTTGAACTCATTAAAAATTTTCATTCCTATTGGGATTCAAGCCCCAGCACCCCCTGTCTCTGTCCATTTATGTATGTATTGGCGCGCAAACGGCGTGCCAACAACTCCACTAACAAGTACACATAGAAATATTCATACAAGTACTATATATCATAGGTACATAARTATCTTATCGTAACACAGTCGCGCTGTTGCTCGTTTTAATGATAATTACCACCTTAGACGCCATTAAGTTACAGTCATYATTTGAATTTTGTTATATGCTACATATTCGTTGCGCTAATGACAATTTCGTTTAAACATTTGCCTTTACCTCTCAGCTTTTTCGCCTTCACACACACAAGCACATGTGCAGTTTGGCATACATGCCCTTTGGAGCTTCCATCGTGTCGTTGTCGCCACTGCTGCCGTCACAGTTGTCGTTGCTGTCGACGTCATTAGTTACTGTAGAACAGAGAGCTACAGCAAAACATAATGATGATGACCGGCAAATAACGCGACAATCATATGTATATTTATCTCTAAGGTGTATGCATGTATTATTGTTGTTTTCTGCTATTAGTGCATTACCTTACAATGAATACTTATGTATGTACACACATATGCACAYTTTCGTTATGGGTGTACTCTGGAGTTTGTGTTTTTGCTGTTACGCGTTGACTGCGTTCTCCCAATCCTGATATGAACGRAGATAATTTGCATGAAGTATGAAAACAATTCTCTATGTTATAGTAAATTCCAAATAAATAAATATTTCAAAATTATTTTGTATTTGGATATTCCTAAGTTCTATTACAAGATAAGGGCATTATAAAAATTTAATTMTAATCGATTTTTTAATTAAGTTAATTTTATTTAATAATGTATTTGTATGTATGTATATTAAATGAGTGATGTACAAAATTTAATTCGAAATGGCCACTTTTGGATTTCACACACAAAATTTCTATTGGAATTGGCAACGCTGCTCGAACCAAAGATTTTTTGAGACTCTGTGAATTTCTGTGGGGTATTCTCACAGGAAAGGAGGTAAGGTTTYCTTTATAGGCTTAGACACCGCTTACTTGGTTACAGCGCTCCAGTCGTTTTTCCTTTGCACTGTTTGGCGACAATAGGTGAATCCAAGTGTAGCCAGGTCCTTCTCCACTTAGTATTTCCAACGGAGTGGAGATCTTCCACTTCATCCGATTCCCCCGGCGGGTACTGTGTCGAATACTCACAGAGCTTAGCCGCTGTCTSTTAATTCGCTGAACTAMATATGCCAATGTCGTCGTATATCTCGTACAGCTCATCGTTCCATCGACTGCGTTATTCGCCATTGCCAATGCRCAAAGACCCATACATTTTCCAAAACTCGTAACGTCGACTCATCATCAGATGTTGTCATCGTGCATACCTCTGCACCATATAGCAGGACGGGGATAATCAGTGACATATAGGGTTTTKTTTTCTTCTGAAACCTTTTTTAATATCGAACGGCTCGGAGAGGACCTTCCCAATCCTGACGGAGCTTTTGATATCGCTCAACGCAAGTTTACACAGCAGAATTAGTTTTGTGGGGATACCAAATCTAGACATAACGGCATAGAGGCAGCTCCTTTTTGCGCTATCAGAAGTAGCTTTAAAATCGACGAAGGGGAGATGTGTCTCGAAMCCTTTTTCACGGGTCTTTCTTTCTGTTGACGGTGGGCAATATGGCTTATCCCACGTAATTGGCGCAACTTGTGGGGTCTCCCTTTTGTGGATTGGGCTAAGCACACTTAAATTCCTATCATCGAGCGTGTATATTCGTATGACCACATTATACAAATAAGTTGAAGCATGCTCCATGGCCCACGCCGATTTGTTGTTCTTCAGGCAGGTAATTGCTGTCTAACTTCTTCATGSTCGGGCAATGGAACATCTGCTCCGTAGTCATCGAATGGGGAATCGGGTTCGATATCTCCTGGTGTTACRCTTTCACTGCTATTAAGCAGGCTGAAGAAGGATTCCCCTGCCGGTCTTGAAACTGTCAGTTAATCGCCGCATCTTTTCGTAAACTTTTCGAGCATTACCCCTGTCAGCCAGCTTGTCCAGTTCGTCGTACTTACGCATTTCGGCCTCTTGCTTTTTTTTGTCTGTAAAAGTGCCTATATTATGATTGATTATTACCGACTTATGTAAACACAGCCTCAACAGTTTATTCGACTTTTATTTTAAACATGCTTAAGGACGAAGCCTAACCCAAATGCCATTTTTCACTTGTGTCGACTAATTCTGTCTATTAAATCCTATACAATATTATGAAATTGTTTTATATAGAAGTTGAGTCTGATTATCATTCGATTTCGCTCATTTGTACAAACAAGAAAAATAATGACTTATATATCTATACACATGTGTACAAGTACGCGTGTTTTATGTTTAGATTCAATCTTTGATTTCCAACCCAGCAATTCCTCCAATGAAATTGAGTGTAATTTCCTTTTATTCTAATCTTGAAAAATACAATCAACATTAATGATGATGAGCCTCTGCTGGCGGAGCAGTCGACAGTTGAATTCGGTCATTGCTTTATTCTACAGTGGCGTAGCGTCATAAGATTTCATTTACGAGGACTTTATCAATATAAAACGGGGCAATTTATTAGACTTTGCCTCTAGTATTCAGTTCGAACAATAAAGTAAAAAATATGATATTCAAATAAAACCGTTTCTCGGAGTCCATATATGAATTCAAAACAATATAATAAAACAAGGTTTGGATAATTCTTTCTTAAGTTAACATAWTTTAAAAGGTCCATTATAAATATTATATTCCTATCAATTTACATAATATTTGTTTATAATGAAAAAAAGTATATATAGTTACTGTTAACTAATAATAATTATATAATAATAGTCAGTAGTTTCAATCAAATCATAAATCATCAGTCAACTCTTGTTTGAACATCAACTTTCTGAGAGAGAGTTAGATTTCTCATCATCGCAGCCAGGAGATACCATACATCATTGTATGAGAGTTGATTTCAATGATGGAATTGTTGCTTTAACGCACAAATGATGGCCCCACATAAACTTAATAATGATGTCATTTGATGTAAGTGAAAGAAGAGAGGTTAAACGTTGGCGTCGCCGTAACAGAGAAAAGCACTGCCGCAACGTATGCAGTGGCGACGACGACGACAGGGCCGATGTTTAGTTCCGATTGAACGTCTCTATGCTTCGGTTGTGCTATGTTTGTGTGCACGGAGAGTCAAAAGTTGAAAGGCAGCGAATGGGAATTGTCATTAGATTAATTACATCATTTGCTTTCCGCCATAAACGCCAAAGAACGATAACATATTGATTAAGTTTTTTCACCAACTAATAACCAATAAGAAGTATAAGCGTTTATGATAAAAACAAATAAAACAACAAAGTAAATAGCTGCAACATCATTAGCGGCGTGTGTGCGACCACGCAGCGGCAATTTATATAAAAGCGTAGAGCTCATTTGGATAGAAGAAATGTGAGTGGAGAAAAATGTGTAGTGAAAGACAAGAAATTAAGGATCAAACTTATACTAAATTCCACTAAATATGAAATGACAAAGTCAAACGGACGGTGTACAGAAATGGTCATTAGGTTCGTTGAATTGGCATTTCGTTTGCGTTGATCAACTAAAATTTGTGGTAATACTGAGATTTATGTTACAAATCACAAACATATGTGTACATGTGTAGGTTAAATGTGTGTACGTAAAGGTGGCTGTGCAATTAAGTAAAATTAAGAAAAAATAATRAAAAACATAGAGGGAAGCAGAAGTGGCAAATAGCACCCATCTTGTTTCTGGTTAAACGGCAWCAGCAGCAGCAAAGGCGTACAAGTGCAGTAACAAACGAAAGYGTCGTCGGTGGCATCTCACGTCTAAACTGTGTAACACAGAGAGCGCATCCGCATCTTCTTCACATGTCGTTTTAGTATACTTGAATATCCGCTTTAGTATGAGTTACATGCGGCTCTATGATGTCAGCCAACGACTTTTTGTCTTTCGTTGTTTTCACAATTTTATTTATTCTATAAAAGTGATTGTAACTAAACTTGGTGCCAATTTTCAAACATATTGTTTACCAAATCCAATCAGCGAAGTGTTCTCGCTGTGATGAAGGTGTTGAAAGAGTATAATACATTGTAGGTGCAAGTGCTGCCAGCTAAGAAGCCAACTGTGCACAGTATTTGGTGAGAGACCCATCGAGGACTTATTTTGGTTTATTTTTAATGATCATTCCATAWCTATAATTATCACTAAAGAAATTCCAATTGTGTATTTCGTTATTTGATGCGTATTGCAACGAAAAATGCTAATGATGGTCTTGTTGTTCCGCTTTTTCCTTAAGTTTCTTAGTTTGCGCTAACGCAGAGAGTGAGAAAACGATAATTACATTGCAAAGCAGCGAGCGCGAGAGAAATTGAAGATTATATTTGTATTTTTCGTCCATTATAACGYCAGTGTATTTATCAGCGACTTAGTTTAGCGATTAGAAAAATGTGATGTGTATGAAACCGGTAGGAAAATAGTAAAAATCTAAAGTTAAGTTAACAAAATGTTGTGAAATTTTGATTCAAATTCACACATCTCAGGTTTGTTGTTTTTTGTTTCTTTTTTGTTAATGTGTATGTGTACCTATTATTAAGTTTTAATACTTCATTAGTTGTTGGTGAACAAATTGACATGTGAAATGTCGTCATTATCGACTTTTTTGAAATTCATAATTAAGCAATTTTCTGTTTTGTTTTGCTCAGTGACATCTTGTTGCATGGCTACACGCTCTAAAGTTGACTTGTGCGGCAATTAGAATGCAATTTTGTTATCAAAACAAGTGTTGACAACTAAATAATATATGTATCTGCTATACAAACTGACCATTCAAAATCAGGTTCTTTTAAGAAATRTTTTGCATTTGTGAAGGGTATTATAGTTTCGTTGCAACCAAAGTTAACATTTTGTTGTTTTTATTTTATTTTTSAAATGATATATACTAATTTAAATGAAATGATTCATTATTATGTTTATTTTTCAGTTATTTCCGATATTAATTTAAATAAATAAGCCGCTGAGCGGAGGTTCTTCAAGAATACCATTTGCTCTTTCTGAGACCCATGTGAAATGCCTGTAAGTATAAACTGGTACCTTAAAATTGCTCCAAAAATCTATTCAAACGTCATTCATTCACTTTCTAGTATGAAAAATTCAACAAAAAGCGCCGACAATGGGAGGATAATGGAGTTTTAGAATTAATTAAATTGTGGAAAGTTTGTGCCTATGAGTTGCGCACGATAAAACGCAATGGCCATTTGTATGTGGCTATGGCAAAACAGTTGACCGCTTTGGGTGTACCTGTATCAGCACTAGAAGTACATTTTAAAGTAAACAATTTGACACAACGTTACCGGTAAGTGAAAAATAAAGCAAATACTTTGTGCTTTCATCATCTTTTATTTTTTATTCGCAGACAAGAACAGAAAACATTTGAAACCACTGGCATTATAAGCACGTGGAAATTCTATTCGCAAGTGGATGATGTTTTCAAAAGTCTGGCCGGACAAGCAGGGTATAAGTTTATGATTTTAAGAAACGAAAATAACTTAATTAAAAAAATATTTCTAAATTTACAGTGACAAACGCATTATGACACCGGCATCTAATCCGAGCACTTTACCTTCGGCTTCAGAGTCTCCCGTTTGGAAGAATCAAATGTCTCAACAAGAGTTCAATAGTAATAATTCCGAAGGATTTTATAAGTATGTTTGAATATACATATATTTGCTTCCAATGCTCATTTGCATCTAACTTAATAAATTTGTGTACTTCAAGATCTGAATATGGAATGCACAGACATTTTATGGATCATACTCAACCTCCACCCAATCAAAACAACGATGTTAACTTTATGGCTAGCACAGCAGCAGCTGCAGCTGTTGCCGCCGCTTCAGCGCAACTTAACACAGCACCTAATAACAACCCAAACACCAACGGAGTTGTGCCAAATTACAACAACAAAATGAAAAAACCTTCCGAGGATTATGATAAATTCGTAGATATTGTCAAAAATATCGTCGACAATCACAAGGCTACTCCGGACAAGGTGGATACTTTCGGCGATTTCATAAAGTCGTATATGAGACGCTGGCCCGATCGCCTACAGGATGAAGCCATAAATCACATAACAAACTATGTCATCGTTAAAAATATGGAAAATTCGATGAATAATGGGGATGGTGTGAATAATAGACAATAACAAAAGGGTAGTAGTAATAAGGATGGGTTACATAGTGTGTTGGTACGCAAGAAATTTGCATGTGTGTAGTAGCCTTAAGTACGGGTTTAAGTACAYGAAGAACGTTACTTAATATAAAGTAAATCAAAATTCTCTCGTTTGGATTTTTAAGTATAAGTTATGTGTATTCTTTTAAGGATAGGAAAATATATATGCATAAATAAATGKTTTGCTTTCTAAGAAACATGACGTGAATACATACAAATATGTAYATTTATTTAAAGTCATCTTCAGTTTTACTTATAGTTATACTTACTTAAGTTAAACTAAGTAGTTACTTTGTTTTCATATTTTATATCAATAAAAATCAACCTCATGCAATGAATTTTATACACATTAAGAATTTAATTTCTTGTATACAGAAATACTGTAATTTTTGTTTTTGAAGTTAATTTGTAAAGTTGACATGATTAAAAACTTGTTTGTAATTCTAAAATTTTTGGGGATGCTAAAAACTAAAAAAAATATCTTTTTATATGTTTATAATAAGAACTATGTTTGTGCTATTGTTTGCATTGAAAGCGGTAGTTGTTAATATTGATATCTCTAATATTTAAGCCTTGTATTTTATTGCTTTAAAGAAGATCGAATTTTTATAATAAACTTCTGCAGAGAACAAACAGCAAGAACAGCGATAACAACAAGACAGATGAACAGCATGTAAACAGTCGTTTTTACATATTTCTGCTAAATAGTAGCGAATATGTTAGAAAATAGTGGTGGTGGTCCCTACTCGGTTGTTTTTAGTCCTGTTAGCCGTGTAATCGACAATCACAGAAAATTTTATTTGCACCTCTCATAGGTTGTTTGTGTTTTTATTCTCCCCTATTTCCTGTATCGAACGATGCTTTTCTTGATACAGTAAGTGRAGCACCTTGAGATAGGAGTTACTAATAAAAGCATCGGTGTTTGTTGTTTGGTTGTTTTGGGATAATTTTGGAACCATTCGGCAGCATTCATCTGCCAACTATATTTCATCGTGAACGCTTAAGTTTTAAGAAGAAGAATTAAATAGGAAAGTGTCAATGTTTGTTCTCTTTGTTAGTTAGTTCGTTTAATTTTACGTGTGTGATACTGCGTACAATTGCAGCTATTGAAAAATATTTCTATAAAAATGGGTGTTTCGAATTATGATGGTGATTATGCTTAACCAAGAGCAAAATCTAACTCTATATATACATTACAATTTTTGCAGCGCTGCGCAAGCAAGCAAGGCATCTGGAGAACGAAATTGACCTAAAGTTAGTTGCATTTAGCAAAATTGGAGCAGGCACTGGCACATCCCTTCATAGCAGTTCATCAACCGACACATCACCACTATTAGGCGAACATGTCTTCGATTCCCTSTCGGAAGAAATTTCACAAATGTTAGACAAGGTAAAATGTAATATTGAAGTATTGTGTATAACGTCTTATGGCTATCCATATTACAGCTTTCGTCGTTGAACGAAAATATGTCAGAGCTTCCTGCAACAGGTGCTGCTGCTATTCATACACTCCAACGTCATCGTGAAATCTTGCATGGATATAAGCAAGAGTTCAATAAAATTTGCGCAAATCACACAACTCGCATAGAGCGCGAAGAATTATTACGTGGTTCCGGGTTGGCCACAAACAGTCCAACTATTTCTGGATTAAGTAGACGCGATCTGTATTTGAAAGAAAGTACTCATTTGAACAGGTTAGTGGTTACTTTATAAAAATAAATTAAGATAAGAAATAACCATTTTATTTTCATTATAGTTCAAGTAATATGGTCAATGACCAAATAAACATCGCTATYGAAACTCGGGAACACTTACTTTCGCAGAGACAGGCATTCAAACGATTGCAGACTCGATTTAATGACATATCCAATAGATTTCCTCTGATTTCCAGGTAAGTTTTCACAAATATTTAAAATATTAAAAATTAGAGTATAACAAATAATCTCTCATTTCAGTCTCATACAAAGGATCAATATAAAGAAGAAGAGAGACTCACTTATTTTAGGTGCAGTTATTGCTGTGTGTGTAATACTTCTATTGCTCTATGCGTTTAATTAACAWTTTTTGTTTATATTTGGAAATTTGAAACCAATCCAACCATTCTAATTTTTAAATCACCCAATTTATAATATTGTAAGCGTTATTCAGATATACATATGTATGAAAAAAAGTTGATCTATATTTTTATAATTTTTTTTTGACTTCAGTGTAATTATTTTAAATTTGTAGGGCAATAAATAATAATTAATTGTATTGTAATTTGTGATAAAACAAGGTATAAATAAAATTAAWAAAATTATATATTCAAATAGATCATCTGCTCATTAATTTCTCTGGGAGTTCAGAACAATTTTAACTCGTATTTATACATWWCTAACACTAAAATGATTACTGATTCAAGTGTAGGGTATTTGTCATTTAAACAGCTGCGATGAAACAGCTGACAGCGCCTTTTGACAGCCGCGCATGGCTAGAAAAACAAAAAAAGCATAAAGTTAATTTATATTTCTCTTACAAATAGTTGGTTTTAATTAAAAGTTTAAATACGAAAATGGTTAACTTACCCGCGACACAAAAAGAAGATAAGCGTGTATTTTTTGAGAACGCGCAAATGGATGAAATGGCACAGCATTTTGTTGGGAACCTGTATAGGTATAATTGAACCATGTTTATTTCACTGATGCTGTTATCACTTACTTAACTTCCAACCGCAGATACCGCGAAAATATAGTGGTCCCCTCTAGTAATGGTCCAATACAAATAAAAACGAATGAAGAGAAAATGATTGAAAAGACAGTGGAAAGCTGCGCCTTCAAGTCTATCACTGCCTGCGTAATGGGTATAAATAGCATAATTTACATTACAAATACAATTGGCTAATAGCTGGTTTTTATTTTGGTTTACAGGTTATGGTTTGGGTGCCGCTATTGGTTTGTTTAGCGCCTCGGTAAACCCAAGTCTCACAGATCCATTGTTGCATGAAAAGAAACAGACAGCACGTGAGATTTTAAGAGATATGCGCAAAACAACACATGGTTACGCCAAGAATTTTGCCATGATTGGCATGGTTTTCTCAGGCGTAGAGTGCACAATCGAAAGTGTGAGTTGAAATCRTTATTCATATTTAAAGAATTCTATAAATTAATATTTTTCTAAATAGTATCGAGGTGTTACTGATTGGCGGAACGGTACCTATGCGGGCGCTGTTACGGGGGGTCTGATTGGTCTGCGTGCTGGCGTTAAGGCAGGWATTGTGGGTGCTGCCGGTTTCGCTGCCTTTTCAACGGTCATTGACTATTATATGCGCCATCGCTTGTAGAGAAATAATGAAAAATCGTCGAACGATTTTTCTATTGATTAATAAGTGTGTTATTCTGTTAGCTGTGGTTACAAAGTGTATAATAATAAAGAGTCGATTATTATACAGTAAATAAGATGAATTTGTAAACATCAAAAAGCTGTTATAAATAATTTCGAATTATTTATAATCTCAAATAACTCAACAAACTAACTGCACTCTTCATATATACAAATATTTTCATATATGGCAAGATAATGTGTGTACATTGGTTAACTTACCTTTATGCATTATGTTTAGCCTGGACTGCAAGAAAATTTTCAAAAAACAATGATTRTTTAGCTATCTGTGACATGGTTATCAAAGATATAATCGATTTTTTGTTTATTTATTGTTTAAAGAAAAGTTTTTAAAAGCATTATTTAAATTCTGCGATGTTATAACGCCTGCTTTTAAAGCGAATGATTTTTAAAGCAGTGTGAATTGTATTCTTTACATAAAATTATTGGTCAAAACATAGAAATTAAAAATAAAATTATAGGGTCCCATTGTATATACAATTGAAAAAAAAGTTAGAGAAAAAATTTGACGTCCTTATTGAAACAATAAATCAGTATAAATAAATAAAATGTCATACATTTTACTTTGAACTATCAAATACATACATATATTATTGATTCACCAATAAAGGCAAGTTTGGGAAGCGCTGCATAATTGATCAACAAAAATTTTCCCAGGTACTTAAAACATTAATTTGATTGCAAACAAACTTTGACATTTTTCTGCAGCAACGTCCAACACGAAACCCAGTTACCTTGCTCGCAAAAATATACACAAACATACAAACAAACAAGCATGCGAATGTGCATTCATAAATAAAAACTGGTCGTAAAGCAATTGTACAAAAGAAAAGGTTGATAAAATGCAGTTTAACCGCAACGTGTAGGAATTTAATAGCCGCTGGTGTAGGAAATAAACTCATCTACGACTACAGTAACACCAAAGTACAAGCACAGCACATTTCAGCGCTGCAAATACGAGCAAAAACCGAAGAAAAGCAAACAAATTTAAAGACAAACGTGCATTGYGTCCAGACTACATTGAATCTTGGTTAAAGAGTGCAGCATATGTAACATACATTCACATATACATTTACACMCATGCATAAGCAACGTTTGGCGCGCATGCGCTAAGCTTCAAATACCAAATCGAATGTGGAGAGATGAGTAGGTGTTGCTTGGCTTGCAGCCGTCCCCTTTGATGCGGCTGACCGGTTTCGAGTTGTTTTCTATATAATTTTGGGGACCAAAACGCCAACAAATAAACCAAAACAAAGGAAGCAAGTAGCGGCAAATATAACAGCGAACTGAAGCAGYATCAGCGGCTGCAATGCAAGTAGCAAAACCGAAGACACCAGTTTTGTGGTCTGTCCCACGCTGGCTGGAACCATCAGTTTCGATCGAACGTGACGTGCGCGCCTTATTGCTGCTTTCTTTATTGTTTTTCGTATTTTTCGTCTTTTTATTATACCCAAACGATATGTGGATTACATATAAGTTTATAAAGGTATTATAACATTGCAAAAAAAAATAATGTAAAATGGACTGAATCTAATGAAATTATTATTCTGGTTGCTCATGATGTGAACATCTTTGAAAGGTTATGCATTCGTAGAAGAATTTTGTGTAATTATTATATGTATATTCTTTAATATTTACAGGCTGCAAAAAAAATTATTAAAGTTCATATAAGACTTATTGTGCTGCCAAATGATACCCAATTAAGCACCATTAGTACTTGGSTGGAATTTATGAAATTTTGTAATAAGTGCTTTTAAAGAAATCCCGTCACTAACGGCTGAATGATGGGTATTCGCAAGGGCAAAGTTGTTGCTGCTAATTTGTTTGCCTGTTGCTAATGTTCGATAGTCTCTTCGCATAATGTTAAATAGATAGAAATTAATTGTGGTTCTGAAGTTTCCAGTTCCATGTCGCAAAACCGACAGTTTTCACAAGAGACTATGCCCGTATTGAACAAGTGTTTCTTGAGCCAGCAGGGCGACAAAAAGACGGTGACGGTCATGTCTCTAAATCTTGCTTGGTTGTACTCTATTTTCCRTGTGGAGCAACTCCTTTATGGTGTGRGACCCCACCTCAATGCAYAGTTATGGCCCCATCATTCTAGAAGCCGCTGCAGAGCGTACTACTTTGTCGGCYAGCTCATTACCGGATACCCTTTTATGCCCCGGTACTCAGATTAGRTGTACACTGTTACAAACTGATAGGCGGTTCAGTATTTCTATACATTCCTCCACTAATAGCGATTTGATTTCATAAGCTGATATCGCTTTTAGTGCCGTTTGACTATCTCTGAGTATAGCGATAGCTGCGTGGGAAATCGATTTCTGCTTATAGCAAAGGCTTCTGCTTGAAAGATGTTCGGAAAACATCACATTGGTATGGATAGATTGGCGGTCCTTCAATACCTGCTACTACAATGTCATCCTGCCGTCAGTAGTAGATCGAGTGTGAAATCACTCCATTCCGARGTTTACCCTCTTTGTAACGCCGTATCTTGGAAGAAGGGGCAATAGTGTGTCCACCSCTAATTGCCTTCCCTTTTCTATAAACTTCTTCTACCATAAGCATATTTATCTCTGATGGTATGCTTCGATGCCTATTTGATCACTAGATGCAGCGGTGTGAGCTCCAACATAACTTCAAGTGTTGCGGTTGGACGAAGACGCATTGCCCCTGAAGTGCAGCGTGCCTTTGATGCCCAAACAACAACCCCACGAGTGACAATAGGCCTTACGTTCATGGCATACGGCCACCTGATCAGCCCCTGGATCTACCGGCGTGGTGGTTGAGTCTAATGTGAGTTCTAGGAATTTGACATTACGCAGGGAGATTTCGTGCTGGTACCGCGATCGGCCTTTAGTGCCACTTGGCTATCAACAATAAAGTTTATAGACTTGCTGCTTGGACCATTAAACTCATTTGATCACTTCTGTAGGGCTCGTTATGAAGGACTGACCTACCTTCTGTGTACGGGTAGTTAAAGAAACATCYTAATCATCAAAAATAATGCCTTGATATTATTAATTACATCATCATTAGTCTCTACAAAGGAAAGAAAATGTTATATCTCCTCAGTCACCTTTCTTCAAAGTACTGAAAAATTGTGAGAATTTTCAATTGCAAGGTCTGGCTGAGATTTTTTGTTACAGTTTGTAATTTTGTGTAATGGTGTCGAGTGTTTCCTCCCTTGATCGGATAAAAATTCGGGTCCGTTCCGGTTATGCAGCTCCGATTAACGTGGGAACTGGCATCTAYAATTCCGTTCCGCCCGAATTCGGACTTTCCTTTTTGTTATTATTATTGCTTGTAAGAGTGCTCGTTACTTGTTCGACTGTGTGTACACCAAAGTTAACTTTCGTATGGTGTACTGCGTTTATACGGTGGGTAAGTACTGTTTTGTTTTACTTGAACTTGTTTCGTTTGGTTTTATATTTCGGACACTGGAGTTTTGTAGCCAACAAGTGAGCGAGGGATTGAGTAAATCAAATCATATACCCCGCTCGTTCGATATTAACGATCGAGTTTAATTTAGTTATTTGTAGCATAAGCAGTTAGAAGGTTATATACTTCAAGGGTAGGAATCGTTAGGGGCAAAACATTATTTTTACCCGGCAATCGTCTTCTTTTCTTTCCGTAATATATTCATATCATCAAAAAGATTGGGCTTTGAAAACTAATCAACACTTTTCATCAATTAATTTAAAAAAATAACTTCCTAACATTAATTGCTTTAATTAAAACATAATTAGATTGAGATTAAATGCGATGAAAAGCAAATATTTTCTAATCTAAAAACCTTTTGTATAACACGTGAGCTTTCATTTTCTAAGCTTACATGTAAGCTTAAGTCTAAATTTCAGACTATAAAATTACTTTTGTATGTATGCTTGAGATGGTATCATAGCTTCTTTGCAGCTCCAYTTAACGCTTTAACTTGTTTTTCTTAATTTCTTAGAGTTTTTTGTGAGCGCTTTGGAGTTTCGCTGCGCCGTTACTGCTGAGAAGTCATCGTTGATCGCCAATCGTTTGTTTGTCCCGTATGATTCCAGTCTGCTGTTTCAGTTTGTTAAGTGACTTTATTGSAAACGGTCGGGATTTGTGGCGGATTTTTAACGGCGCTTGCAGCTGTCGTCGATTTGACAACAARGCAAAAAACATAAATAAAAGATGCGATACAATTAAATGAAAGAAGAAACGCAACTCCGTTGCCACAGTGCGCGTTGGACATTCAAATGTGTGTTGACATGTACTCGTGGTGATCCATCAATTAAATCTGTTACAAAATGTAAATACTTGCACATATGTACATATGTACGTGTATAAATAAAGCTAGTGGGAAAAGTGCCAATTACACAGCCATGGCACTTGTAATTACTCGTTTGACTRACTTGTCTGCTGGACGGAGTTACTGCGCATCTGCAGCCGCCACACAAAATAAATATCCATGAATGTTGTTAAAATTGTGCTGTTATTGTTTTCGAAAAGTAGACTCGCGYCTTTTCGATAACAGTTTTAATTAATTTGCACTTGTAACAGCTCGTGGTGCCTCTGTGGTGCTTCTCTAGTTGAAGTGTACATATTGTATGCATGTGTTGGAGGAGCGCTATCACAGTGACTTCTTTTAAAAAATTTAAAGTGAAATATTAAAATATACATAACAATTAATAAAGTAAAYAATAATTAACAACAATGTATTATGGAGTAAAGTTTACGACTTCATTAAAAGAGCGGCGCCACAGCTGAAAGCATTAAGCCATCGAACTCCAGGTGGCTTTGTTATTATTCTAGTGCCAGGTTTATTTGCAAAAACAATTATCGTTTACTTAGTTTGAATTTCGCACTTTAGCAGATGCCATTGCGCCACATGGATTTACAACTTCCGCTCCCCAATCGCTCATCTTTAAATATATCACACAGCTACAACAAATAAAGGGTGTTTTTTTAGACTAGAGATTTTCAAGAATATATAAAACACATATAAATTAATGTTATAGTTAAGAATTTAGTTTTATTGTATAGATAAAGGTGTGTCATTATGTTTTAAAAATGATTTGTTTATCAGCAATATCCGAATATAGTATTCTCTTACAAACGGTCACATAACCCTACAAAAAAGAGTGAGCTGAAGGACCATGACACCAAATAATACGCTCACGAAAAGTTTTCTTCAATAAATTGATTATTTCGTTGGCTGTACGGCTCCAAAGGTCGTCTTTCATCATGGCTCTATATCGTCCCCCATTATCTGYAACACTATGACCAGCTTCATGTTCAAAGAAATATGAACCAATGACTCCCTCTGACCGTARTTCAGATCAAACATTGATTTTTTAAGGATATATTGTGAATTGTCATCACTGCAAATGCGACAATTGTGTTTACTACTGATTCTTTGTGGAAATCGGAATCGGTGGACTTCTCTTATTGGGCCCATTTACTGAACGTGTGACGCGCTTAATGGTCATTCGGGTTCAATTCTGCACGAGTTGGAATTCCTTTGCAA